TGGTGGGCTTGAACCACCAACCTTTTGGTTAGTAGCCAAATGCTTTAGGCACCGCACCACCAAAGCTCCTTGACTTACTGCATAGGGTTGAGTAAATGGTGTTCCCTCTCTAGGAGTCTAGAACAAAGACAGTTGTGGACACCTAGGGAAAGCCTAAAAGGTTGGTGTCGAGGGATGATAGAGAAGAGTTGCTGTGCATTGAATCATTTTTTGCTGCTACATAATTGCTTCCCCTAAACCTGAAACGCTGAAAACACACTCACAATTGCTTTTTTTTTTTTTTTTGCCATCATAATGGAAATTTTTATTCTTTTTAATTTTCATAATTACCCCTCCTCTTGAAAATCTAGGGGCAGATTTTCGCTCCCTGGTGTGTGCTTCTCATTTGACTAGATCAAAGGTTTCCAATCTGGATGAGCATCAGAATCATGTGAGAATCTTGAAAAAAAGGCACATTACTAGTTACTATCTCTAGATATTCTAATTTATTAAGTCTGTGGTAGAGACCCAGGTATTTGCACTGTTTAAAATAACCAGGAATCATGAAAGTCAGATTTGGGAACTACAAGTGGCCTTTAAGGGCAATAGAGTTCTTGGATTTTATAGATGGCACTGTCTTAGCCAGGGGGGGTCGGTAAAAGCTCATTTCTAAACTACTTCTCACCACTAGGCTTACAACATTATCACTTTATACACAGGGGTTTGCAGAGCATACTTTCAGGAAATTTAAAAAAACATATCAATTTATCTCCATTTATTCTACTGCAGAAATATCTGGTATCAACTAGGCAAGCCACAGTTACTACCTGAAAATAGGAGTTGCTGCAGATCCTTCTTATGTTCCAGGCCTTTCTTGGAATACACTGGTCTGTTAAGAGGAGGCCCATTAGCTAGACTCAGCTGAGATTCAAAGTCTTTGCACAACCATAGAAGATCTTAACAAAGAAAGAAAACTCAAGTTAATCTGACATGCTAATTTCTCTCTTCATCATTGAAAGAGGCCTTTATAATTGGATGGAATATATGATCTTCTTTGTGGTTATTTGC